GTACTGTTCTTTAGCTTTCTTTTGAATAGTCACATGGCAAGGTCTGCGTCTGGCCTAGTTATCCATACTGCAGAGCTTATCCTAGTTTCCGTAGCATTAACAAACTAGGCGCATTTCTATAATCCCCTAAATTTCACGGGGTTATGTCCCTCTCCCTGTTTTAAATCGCCGGTACCCCTTTTTAGACACCTGGATGGAGAGAACCACGTGAGAGTGTACAAGTGTCATAAGTGTCTTTCCCATGAAAAACAACTCAATTTTCCCGGCCAGGGCTCGAACCCGGACAGCTCGATTCAGAGAACAGCACGTTTACCATTAAGGCCTGCAACTTAAAACCATGGTTTTAGTCCTGGTGTGAATTCGAAAGGCAAATAGAACCACATTCGTGTATTTCTCCTTTGGAATTGAAAAGGTGAACAAATAAATAAATAAACTCTAGGGAGGTGCCTGTGTGAAGACGCTGGTAAGAAACACTTTTCAATTCACGCAACAATAGTCACAATTCAATAGATCACGCTTCGATGGTTAGCGATCACTAGGCGGACACCAGGTAAAAATTAAAGTGTGTTTACATAGCTTTTATTTTTTTCCTTTACTTTGGCAAGAAAGATGTAACGAAAACTAAACGCTGAACTGATCCTTAAGGAAAAAAACTTAGAAAAATCGAAAAAACGTTTGTACACAAAGCAAAGTAATAAATTTGTGAAAAAAGGACTGTGATGTTGGGTCCAAGCCACATTAGTGGTGGACCGGAGAAGCTTTTATCCATTGCGGTTGAAAGTCGTGTGTACATGTAGGTTGAGTTTGTACGTAGTAACTCGAAAATTGAAATAACTAGAAATGACATAAAAGACATAAAGACATTATTTTAGTTTTCAAAGCGTTTTGGTTTGACGAGGAAGGCTTGGTAATTTGTGTTCTCCAGGAATATGAAATAGGTACAGAGGCTGTATATGTGTATACTGCTGTGTAAGTACATGCATCTCAAAATTGCACAACAACGGACAACCTACAGTTAAACCCCTTAACTAACTTCGAGGTGTTTTTCACAACACTTCTTAAGAGTGGTGTGGATCTACAACACCTCTTGAAAAGTGGTCTGCATCTGACGTCGTCAAAGTTACAAGATCCGAAATGCTTACCCGCTACTCTCAAGTCCATGATTTTCATGTCTCTGGACTATTTTCTTAACTAAAATAATACAGAAAGTCTTTCAAATGCAGACAAACCCTGAATCTCTCTATCAATCGACTTGAGCAAGCCGGGTTATCAAAAAGCTGCCAAAAAACAAAAACAACGAGGCATGAATAAAGAAAACTGTGTCCTGTATTGAATAAATTTTTTTTTTCATCATGGATTCAGGAAGTAAAAAATTGCTATAGCAACGAAGTAGACCTACGGAGGGGCAGTCTAGATCAGATCACGTTTCAAGGAAAATGAAAAAAATTCTTTCACAATTCATAGAAAACAAATAGACATTTTACGCAACACGAAAAAAAAAGACATTTTTCACTCAAGCCTGCAAAATTAATGAGATTTTGAAAGCGATGTCCAAAGAACAGCCTTCTTCTTTTTTCGGCAAGAGGCAAAAGGAAAACTAATGTAGAGGGAGCGAACAGATTGCCTTTACCTCGAAAGTAATGGAAAACATAATCAAAATTTCACGACGAATTGAACAAAATGTGTTCATCAAAAATTCAACAAAGAACGACTTTCTGTCTTCATATTTTGCATATTTTATCCCTATAATCCCTTCCAATTGTTTTAAATCAAATTTTCGATTCTTTTAAAGCAAGCAAAATAAGATTACTACATCACTGCAGACCATTTCTGCTATTGAGACTATATTTGAGACTGCATGCAGTTTTCAGTCACACTCTACATTAGTTCGTCTTAACACTTATTTGTTAAATTCCCTGCAGGAAAGACAAGTGCAGTCAACTTCAGAGAAACTGTAAGTAAGCTTCAAAGAGCAGAAACGATGAGAGAATTCCAGCGTTTAATGTTTGAATGGAAAGAGAGAGGTAAGGGCAGTGTCGTAAACAACCACTGAACACAATCAATGTCTGCACTCTTTTCTTCTACTTTACTGCACTCTTCTCTTCTACTTTACTTTAATTCAACGGAGAAAGCTCATTCCAGTGTCTTGTTGAACCTTTACAACCTTAACGGTTAATTGAGACGCTGGCTCCTACATAAACTTCTTGTGTATTAGGAGTTCTAAGCGGCGTTCTTTCAAGAAGTACTGTTAAAGATTGTGACTACAGCCAGCCGAGTCCAAACCCAGGACGGTTGATAACCGTCAAACGAGTATCGTGCACATATAGCATCACTTGTTACGCTAACAGTGTAAACGTATCTGGCTTCATGGTGATGAAATTTGGGGCGAAACTGGCGACGTAGGAGACCAAAGCCTCCTTATCTTTTGGCTGTATTAAATAACGATTAACCGTTCTGGGATAAGATGCTGTTCTTTTTGCCTAAACAAAGAGCTATTCTTTAACTTTACCGAGCCACGAGCAAAATTCTATCCTATCAACTACTGATATAATTGCAATATTAATTTTATTTTTTGATTGCAACTCGTCCTTGATTGGTAGATTAAAGAAATATTATAAGCGTTCACGGTTTACTCAGTGTCCGCACTGTTATCACGAACAAATTGTTGTATTTTCAAATTTCAAGAAACAAAAACCAGAGTGCCAGGTGAAGGTGAATTTGTTGGGGTGCCCGGTGAACTGCGTGGATTTGAGATCGCGTGGAGGGAACACGGAAGTAAGAAACTAAGCTGGGGAGACCTTTTTCAACCTGCTATTGACATCGCTACTAAAGGTTTCCTAGCCACTCCCGCTTTGATAGCTGCAGTGGAAAAGAATGGACCCAACATTACAAATGATCCCGGGTTAAGGTGAGCAACGCACCCAGCCGGGGGGGGGGGGGGG